TTGCATCATTTTGGTTATTAGCAAGCACTCTAAATTCGATTAGATTTCTATTCAGCTTTTTTTCTGATGAATGGATAACGGTCAAGCATATAAAAGATAACAACAACAGGATGCATCCGATGGGATTCTGCACATCCCCTAGGAACCCTTCTGAGACTCTCTGATGCTCCCAGGACAGCCAGGCCTTATTTTACAGCATCACAAAGAAACGCTGCTGTCAGCACTTGGACCCTGAGCAGGGTTTTCAGTAACACCATGGTATGAGATTCTTCCAGGAAAGGGGATAGATATGAAAGAACAGAACAATAGCTGTGAGAGGTGTCATAAGGACCTCATTTTTGCTCTGTTCCAAGCCCTCAGCGGAGCTGCTAGCTTTTGACTGGACAAGTCCTTTCTATTGCCCAACACTGTAAACAGAGATGGCAGTATTTTGAACAGAAACACAGGTGACTGGAAGGGGAAATGCAGAATTATACTGCACAGCAGGGCGGCATTTTTAGGTTAGCAGAAACATTCTTCTTTGCTTATCAAAGGCAAAGCAGAGAAATCTATTCCTCCTAAAACACATGAGCAAACATCATCTTTCCTATGCAGAGATTTCTGGTGTCTGCTGCATGCAGCAAACATGCCTGGCGCACAAAAAGCTACTTCCCTTTAAGAAACTATCTTCAATATCTGAATTTTGCAGTTACTATCTTCAATATCTGAATTTTGTAGTTTGGGGATATACTCTAAGGAAATCCCAGGACTAGGAGAGGATCGGTGAGGGTTTGTAGGAACCTAGACCTTCTTCAGCTTCACAGGAGAGAAGACAGCAGTCAACTACTATGGTGCCATTTTGCGGACCTGAGAGCGGTGTGCACGAGCTGGGTAAGTAACTATTTCCATATTCTCACAAAATCTAGAAAGGACAGAAGAATCTCAAGGTCACTGAGGACAGGCCTCCCCCTCAACATCAAGCAGCTCAAAGCAGTCAGACCCCTAGTAAGGGTTTTGAGCCTCACTGCAATGAGAGGCTCTTCTGAGAAAGGGAACACAAGTCCATGGAGGAGCTGAATGGGAAGGCTGCAAAGGACACAGCCAAGAACACCGAGCTTTGTTGTTGTTGTTGTTGTTTAGGGCTAGCTGCAGAGGCAGAGAGCAAGGGGAGAGGGGGAGGCTTACTTTGGAACAGAAGCCCAGGTCTTCTTTAGCCGATAGATGGAGTTGGACTGCAGTGCTGAAACGATGGCCCTCAAGGAAGAAAAATTCTTCAGGATCCGACATTCCTGTGAAAGGAGCGGTTAGAAACGGAGGAGTATTAAATATCAGCATTACAAGCAGGTTAGCGCTCTTCTGTTTGACTGGTGTCATGGCTGCTACGCATTCTTAGTGCTAAACAGGCAGCTGTACAAATATCGAGCATCAAAAAAAAATCATTCCCCTCTCCAGCCACCAAAACACTTGATGGGCTTTGGCACTTGCATCTTGTTTTCCTCACTTTCATATACTTGTGGTGATGTTGCAGTGTTACAGCTTCAGGTTCCCCCAGTACAAATAAAAGTGGAACTGAGGCCATGAAGCCAGGCTAAAGACTACAAATGTTTCACTTCTATAAACCCTTTCATATTTACCAATCCCTTTTACCCTTTAGGGGGAAACACCACCACCACCACCACCACCACCAGGCTTTGCCTCTTTGTATGTGGTATTTACAATGTTAACCCTCAAACATCTAAGTGTCAATTAAAAATAAAAAGACATGCAAAGGAATAACCTGTTATACAAGTATGGGCACTGTTTACGAGAAAACTTTCCAAACTGCTCTGGACTTGGGATCAAATCCTAACAGAGAGATTGGTTCACAGACACTTCTCTCGCAACTTCTCTGTGACAAAAGCTTCTGTAGGAAAAGTATACTGAAAAACACTGTCCTGCAAAGAACAGCCTCGATTCCTGCTAAAGCGGATGAAAGCAAGGAGGGGAGGAAAGCATGGCCTGTGACCAACCGACTCTTCAGGCAACTCCTGTATATCTGTTGGCGGCTCACGAGTCAGAGCACGGGAGTCTCAGATTTAAGACAACTCTTGCCTAGACAAGCCCTCACAAACAGGTATCCGTACATGCAAATTAAGCAGACAAAACACCTCAATTTGACTGTTGCATATAAATGAGAACATATTCAAACTACAAATCTGATCCTGCAAATATCTATGGACCCGATTATTACACTAAGGTAACTGCATAATACTGATTATGTAAAGGATCCTTACAGCGAAAATAAATTGTATTTATTTCCTTTGTAGCATCGCTGCATAGGACCGAAGAAATGTAAAGTGAGCTTAGTATAAATAAACGTCAGACCTTAACATACTAGTAACTGCTCATACAAGTTGCATTAAAATTGAATGAGCAACTCAGCGAAGTACATTTACTCCCATATATTTATCTCAAATATTTTTGTGCAACACAGGAGGCTGCATTTAACAAAACGTGGCTTAAAAGACTGACAAGGCAGAGAGCTCTTAGAGTAGGTTGGCAGTTAGGGTAGATCAAGACCATTACTTGAGTTCAAGGTCACGCGGTAGGACACTCAAGACCTATAAGCTATTCTTGCACAGTTTGGGGCCAAGGGAGTCACACAACAGCTCTTCTTAAGAGACTGACACGGCAACACTTGAGAACAAAACCTTTCTTTATGTTCACCTTGGAACTCCAGCTGGGGAGAACATGGATTTAGAGACACAAATCCTTAACATCTCGTTTTCTCAAATATAACAGGAGTTTAGACTGGAAGCTCTAGTCTGGAACCATTTTGATTTTGACCTAATTGCATGTTGCACAATTATTAACACGTTAGGAATTAAATATTGAATTTTGTGTTCCCAATGATTTAACTTGACTACAGACCAAATTTTAGCAAACTCAACTCATTTTTATGTAGGAACAAATTTTTAAACTGCTTTGAACAGCTTTGCTTCATGCTGTGTCCTTCAGAAGGGGGAAACCAGAAAGAATCCTGGGCATACTGCTCAGAAACAACTTTGATTAAAAAAAAAATAAGCATAACAGGATATTAATGATTTCATTTTTACTTTTTGTTTGTAAAGAAAATATTCTGTGCATAAAATTGGCTGTTCTTGCTCACGAACTTTTGATCTAGGTGAAGTTGAAAGGGTTGGCAGTTAGAAGAAAGTATCCAGTCTCTTCGATTACAAGACAAACTGAATCAGAAAGTCATGAACAGATAACAGATGTGGAATTCCATGCTGCTGCGTTACAGAGTTAGTTGTCAGTGAATAACTGCACTTTAATGAGTGGATTATTTTCTAATTCAGGCCTCTAACTATTCAAACACTCACTTGCATGCACAAAGCAAGCAACTTCCTTCAGAAGTGGGCAGCTAAGTATATACGCAACTAGCTGTTCTACATGTGCAATTATTTTGTAGAGTGTGCACATGCATTTTTCATGTGCTTAGCTAAGACTGGAGCACTTAATTATGTGTGTGAGTTAAGTAAAGGAAGAAGTACTGGATGAACAGAGGTGGAGGACAAAGTTCTCCATCCAAAAAGCAAGTATTATGAGACTGGTGACTGTCCCAGCTTCCCCGGACCTTCCTGCTGCCCCCCATGATAAGCAGGTAGCTGCACAGATCTTGTTCTCAGATTTGAGCCAGGGGTGCCCTGTAAAGGCCCATTTAGCCAGTACCCTCTGCGAGCTGGAGGCGCGCACACAGAAAATAGGAATGAAACTTCCTAATCCATTCACATGGGCTATAAAGCAGCCATCAGATGATAACAAAAGCGAGTCGACGTAAGTGCCAAAATAGAGGCGAAAGACTATTTCCCCATACCAGTTTCCTGAACCATGCAGTTGCATGAGTTTAGGTGCCAGTACTAACAATACTGTCTCTGGAAGCATAGAAGTGCATTGCCAAGGTTGGAAGGCCCTCTGTTTGGCTTGAGCTTTTTATGACTGCTTATTTTGTATAGCTTTGAAAGAATCCGTGTGATTCTTAAAGCAAAGTCAACACACATCCATATTAAAGTGCTTTAATGTTCTTTTGAAAAAGAGATTTAGTTCAGTGCCAACAGCCCAGCGCTGTGAAGGAGACCTCAGGAAGGTTACAGTAAAATAAATAGCAAACTAGAGTTACATAAAGAAGGTAAGCAAAACTATTTTATGCAAAGATTAGGAAACACATAGAACCTGCTTCAACTCCTTTGTCTTGTAGCAAAGAGTAAAAATGTGTTAAAGAGAAACGTAAGACAACGATGAAGTAAAAAGGTAAGAGGAAGATAAAACAACAGACAAGGTTCTTGACCCAGGTTCCATTTGTAATCTTACTTTTTTTGACTTTTTTTTTTTTTTTTAAACAACATCAGCTGGTCTGTATACCCAGTGTAAACAGTAAATTATTCAGTTAAGCAAACACCATTGAGCTTCAAGGATTTTTCAAAACAAAAGACTATGAACAATAATTTTGTTTTTCCCACGTTAGAAAGGCTACTACTTCTTAGCAGTAAATTAGCTTTGTCTGTAATAACTTACCTAAGACTTAGTATTTACTTTACCTTCATACGTATATATAAACACAGTTTGTGCTATATCTTCCACCATACCTGACTTCAAGTCTTACAGTATTCACAGATGCAGGAGAGGGAGTGTGACAGTCACTGACTGAACAGTAACATCCAAAGGCAGGTAAGCGCAAAGCTTATTCTGACAGTGCCCACTCTGCCTGCACAAGTGCCAGTTCTGCTTCGCTCCTGTTAACCTTCACCTGAAATCAAGACTAACCTTAGGGTGACAGCAGCATACATTCACAGCCTTCGCTGTGACGAGCAGTATTTTCTTCTTAGGGAACTGGACTGGTTTAATTTATACCTATCTTACCACAAATGTTACGTTAGCAAATACAGTGCCCTTCCTGTCTGCAAGGCAGAGCATCTCCCTCATCCATTAATTAGCGCTCTCAGCCCTGCGAAGAGGCAAGCATCAACCTCATTTCCACAGTGGGGAACTAGGGAGGAGAGAGGAGAGGCAGCGCTTCACCTGATATTACCAAGAAAGTTAGCATCAATGAAAATAAGTAAGATGTGCCCTGGCCTGGGACCAAGGCATATAACCCCTCCTTCCCTCCCACCAGCTCTGTCATTCAGAAGCACCTGCATAAGGAACATTAAACAGTCGAGGATAAATGCTTTACATGTGCAATATGAATCCACTTCTCAATGATCTTGGCTCTCTGCTGTGTTTTGAGTTCCTTGCTCTTCAGGATAGTGCTGACAACACATTTGGTAACTGCATTGAACTGAGAGATGGTGGCTCTGATGGTAGGTGCCAGGTGCTTGTTCTCTTTCTTATCCCTTCGAGACCAGATGCATCCCAAACAGTGGTGGGGTACAACTTTCTTAAAGAGCTTCTAGAGTGAAACAGAGATGTATGCAAGTCAGCAGGACTCTCCTAGATCTCTACTGCCCATAAAAGCAATGCACGCTTACAGTCCAATGGACCTAGTCCAGTATGATATTAAAAGACAAATATTTATTTTCTCTTAAGATTAAAATACACTTTCACGTATTCTTTATAGACTTGATGACAGAAAAGAACTGTCAGCTAAATGGCCCTGGGAAAATAAGAGACACCTGTGTACCAATTGAATAAGCAAAGGGAAAACTTTTATATAATAGTATTCTGAAAGAGACCAACACATACAAACCAAATTAGAGAAGAAAAATTAGAGCACCTATACATCTTTAGGCCAGGTAATGATACAGTCAAAATGGGATATTCTTCAGGTGTCGAATGTTAAACGTCACCTTCGTAAAAAATAAAAATAAAAATAAAAATAAAAGGCTATAGAGTATACGTTCTCGCTTTTTAAAGACTTCAGAATACCTGAAGGAAACAGTCCAATGAATGAAGTAGGTTTGGATAACTGGCCTGTTTTGAAACACTATCCTTACAGCAACATCTTCTAAAATCTTTTTAAAAGCCCATCACTATTGCCCCTAGCATTTCAAGTAGTACATATGCTCTACATACGGCATCCATGTATGTCAACTGCTCTGCCACGAGGTCTTCTTGGAAAAAAGAGAATTCTTCTGGAGCACTGATCTCCATTTCCTCTTCATCATCTAGATTCCATGGGGAAGTGCTATGGAACCCATCTGTCCAGAATGGAAAATATGACTTAGTAAATTCATACACCAAACAGTGATTCAAAGGAACTTTTTTTTTTTTTTTCCAAATCGTCACGTATGTATTGGAGTACAGCCCCCAAAGGGTCCTACCTAATGTAATGGCCCCACTGTGCTACAAATATTAGTAGGAAAAAAACTATGACCAGAAAAATAATTTGGATAAATGAAAGGTAGAAGAAAAAAAAATAGTTAGAGAGAATTGATCTTTTCACAGTCTCTCAGCTGGAGTGGCTCAACTCATCCACCAACCACTCTTCTGCAGAAAAAAACAAAAAAACAAAAAACCCTTTTTTTTCCCCCAAGAACAAAAATTTCTTATAAGTATTGCAATTCTGTTAACCTACTTTTCAGTATTTATGCATTTTATAATCTGAAAAAAAATCAAACTGCAAAGGGACTAGACTGCAATTATACCCCAGAAATACTGGGTTAGGAGCACTCTAATATTCAGATTTCCTCTCTCCCACACAGAAGGAAAAAGAGTTACCAGATTCTCTTGGCACCATTCTCACCTTCAAAGGGCTGCATGGATGATATTGAAGAGAGGGCATTCCAGTACTGCTCACCTTCCTCCTCTGGGAAGTCTTCCCAGAAAAGGGAATACAGTGAGCGTCTCCAGCATTCAGCTGAATGCGTCTACATTTGCACTGAGCAGCAGGGGGGAGATGAGAGAGGAGAGCTCTCCTCACCAAGGGACCAGACTCAGCACAGAAAAGGTGGGATTTCACAGACGCTCTGTGCCACCTTTTGGCTCCCAAAAGTTTGGAACAAAATCACGTTAAAAGACAAAGAAATACGTCCTTATTTTCCATGGTAGAGGAGGAAGTCAAACAGGAAATCCCTGAAAATAAATTATCTCCCTAATCCCTTTTACTGTAGGAAGACCAAAAGAATGAAAAAAGAAATAGAATGGAATTTCCCACTTGCTGAAGACTAACAGTAAAAGTACTGGGTTTACTACTAGTGCGTTTTCAGTAATGAAAACAAGCAGTATATTTCAGAGTATGTCGTGAAACATACTCTGAAATCGTATCCAATTAAAGGAGAACAAACATTAAAGTTGCAAGAGTAGATAACATGATACATCATCACTGTTTTTCGAAATACTTGTTTTTCTTTCTTCAATAATTTGCCAAACCTAGTTATCAATGTAAACTACTACAGTTTTGATGTAACAAATTAAAGCTATTGGCTGTATCTTGATTTCCATCTGTACATTCCAATTGCACAATTTATTGACAGAGCTAAATGAGATAAATGGAGACCTCCATTCCAGCCGTATTTTTCTGTAGCTCATTTATAATAAGAAGTGTAATTAAATGGACTTTTATTGAACTGTTACAAAAGTCAAATTTGCTTCTCTCTCTTTATAGCTATATAACTCCTCATTTTCCTTTCAGCTCATGAAATTCAACTCAAAATCCTCACCACTGAGTTGCAATCCTACTCGAAAACTCAATAGTTCCCTTAGAACCAGTTTCCTGAGTGCTATGCAAGCTTTTCCTTTGCCATGCCCCTTTTTCTCTCTTCTCTCTCATCTTCATAACGTGTAACCAGCTTGCCCTCTACTCCCCAAAACGCTGGAATCCTCTTATGCAAAGAGTACCTCATCGTCTTCAGATAACTCTGATCCATTGAGCCCTCTAAAAGCCCCACTGCCCTCCTGACTTCACTGATAGCAACCGCATGCCCCTTTGAATGCAGCCTCTCACCTGCCTTAGCCCATATTCTCCGCGCTGCAGGCTCTTTGAGGCACGTCTTATCTACGTACCTGATACTGCAATCTAATCTGCTGGCCTGGACAATGGTAGCATTGAATGGAGGTCTCGCTACACAAACCAGTCTGTAGGATTAGGACCTAAATTTGCAAATTTACAGCACAATATAAACGTTTTAGAAGAACAATTATCAACAACTCTTCAAATCTAATTGTAGACAACACCTTAGGAGTTTTGAATTAAATCTCTGAAACAAGCACAGATCAAGCTACCCTAAAACTCTTCTCTGCAGGCCCACCACATTAAATGTGTTCTCCTCCTTTTATTTTGTTTTAATTAACAACTTCTACTCTGCCAAAATTTGGAAAATGTGAGAATTTAAACGACCTGTCTGTAGCTCAGAAGAGAACCTTTTCCAATATTACTTCAGGAAAAAAAAAAAAAAAAGCAGAAGCAGAGCTGCTGGGAACCTCTGCTCACTTTGAACAACCGTTGGATCAAAATATAGCCCTTCTGAATTTTCTTTGTTTGACCTGTGAGAACCAAACCCAGGAAAGAATATCAATAGGCACGTATCAGCAACCCTGTTGACTTACCCGGGTTCAATAAGGAAAATATTTGGGCTTTGTGCAGTACTCCTTTTTCTGTACGTGTCAATGACTGAGTTAATTTGGCATTTCACCATATCATACATTGACATGGTATTTCTGGAACATCCGGCAGGTATGATTTTATGGGATGAAACGTTTCTTTTCTGTCATTTCCTTTATCCTTTATTTCATGAATTATTCCCTCTTGCCCCTCTGCCAAAGCTGGAAGTTGATTGTAGTTCTCATTCACACACTGCGTGAGCTCCGACAGCTTTTCAGCTAATGCCACAGGAAACTCTAACCCGGGTAAGGGCTATGTGTCAGGCTTGACGCTGCACACAGCATATCTATGTTACTACAGTTCACTATTGTTTCAGTGGATTGTGACCCCCAATAACGTAAGTTTTTCCTCTGTCCTTGGATACTAGCAGCCAGCCACTTAAATAGGAAAAAACAGCCACAGACACTTCCTTTGACATGATGGTAACTAGGAAGAGAAGCTTCATGACAACAAGGCTTGTGACTCAAGCTGTATTTTGCCACAGCCCAGTAAGATGAGCTCTTTATTTTGGGGTTTGGTGGGTTTCTTTTTTGAAATGAGAAAACCAACTGAAGAGCACCTGTGGTTTTTTTTTTTTTTTTAATTTAATGACACAGGGAATCTATGACAATTAACCACTTAGCTGCTGTAGCAATCTCAAGGCTTTGGCTGAACATTGGAAGTGCTGGAGCTCCCAATTCTCCCTCAAAAGAACAGGCAAAGGAGCCTATGCTCCACAACTATCCCACCCAACGCACAACCTGCTGCAACCTCATTCAGAAGTCTCTGACCGTACTAGAGGTACCAAGCTATTGTCAGTCAGTGGGAGAGTTAATGACACAAAACCCCAGACAATTCCCTGAGGTACCACGCAATCTGGGAGAACAGAAAGGAAGAAAGAAGCTGCGAGCAAGCTTACTGTCATTTTCCACTTCTTGCTTCTGGAACTGCTCCAAGAGGTTCTGTGCTCTCCTCTCTGGGTCAGAGCCGGGCATACTCCTCTTAAGGTAATCCAGCAATTTCAGCAAACACGGGTAGTTGGGTGGCTCTCTGAAATCCTCAGAACACTGGTCAAGCCAGGCTCTTAAGATTGATGCTATTGCACTGAAATCAAATACAGAGAGAGAACACATTGGCTGTATACAATGTATGCATCTATACAATAGTACGTATGTGTATCTAAAGCAATAATAAAACAACAGTCAGACATTCATACCCTACGAGGGTATGAAGACAGTACGAAAACATGCTTGAGCAAAGAATTTTGGTTGTTCTTTTTATGCATGGAGCCTTATTAAAATCTCGCTCAGATTTTGCCAGGGACTTCAGCAAAGTTACTCCTAATTTGCACTACTACAAGTGGATCCTATTATAGCCCAAAATGCAAAGTAATGAAGAATCAAATCCATTTTTTTAAGCTATATTAAGACCATAAATTCAGGATCTCAAATAACGACTGATAAAACAACTCAGATGATAATAATAGAAATAACTCTCTCCTAAGCATATAAAGTCACCATCTCAAATAATATTACTGGCATTCTTTATATCTTGCTTCCTCATATCGCACTGTTTGTCAAGTTAGCAAAATCAGAACTGCAAATTACCTCAGAGTTAAGTGTTGTTTAAGCAGATGAAGCATCTTTTTGCTTAGCTACTGTACCTTGACCATGTTTGAATCCCTACCAGATGTTATGCACACAATCAAAAGCATAACATCATTCCTTAATAACTCTAGGTTTGATTCACTCCTGTGCCAGCAGGAAAAGCTGTGCCCCAGAGAGGCTGCAGTGCTTGCACAGTCACCGTTCCCCGGGATGTTGCAGAAGAATACAGAGGAGGAAACAAGGTTTCCATGGCTCCTTCAGAGTTCCTCCAGCAGCAGCTGCCCAGCGGAAGCGCTAAATAAAACGCTTCCTCTGGTGCCCTTCCTCTCATTAATCACCATTGCCCAGTTTCGTGATTTATCATATGATAAAAACGCATAACGTAAAAACATGTGAGCAGAACTTGGATTTCAAGGGCAGCTTTTTAGCCTTAGCCTGAAGGCAAGGAGCAGCAGTCAAATAACACCATCCAAGAAGGTGTCTCACTCATGCTGTTGGTGCAGGAAAAGGATGCTTAAGAGTTACAGGGGCTATGGGAGGTTGTGGTTCTCGTTCAGGAAAGTCATCCTGGACCTTCTTACACACAGAGGGCTTATGAAGCCAAAATAAGACACCCACTACAGAGAAACATCCACGGCCAACGCTTCTACAGACAGAGAGATGGGGATAAACCGGTGCTGCTGAATCAACAGGGCTTCCACCCTGCCTGAAATGGAAGACCAGTTTCAGTGATCTGCTCATCTACTTTTCCTGGCTTACGTAGGTTTTCATCCACACCCACCTACTACTTTGGCATTTAAAAACTACACAAATGTATGTATAGGTGAATTTCTTTCAATCCCACCTTTGCAAGGATTTTTCATTATTTCAACCTGATGCTGCAAAGAAATAGGACTTTCAGTTTAGCCTATGGTTTTCCAGAAATAACTTACAATGCTGCTGACAATTTTCAAACAAGGTTTAAAACGGAACAAGTCGGGAAAAAATAACTGAGTTGCTCTAAGTTTTAAGAAAGTTTGTGTCTGGATAGAGAAAAGTAACCAACTTATTTTTAAGACTAGGAGATTTCAGATTCTTAATAGCAATCTGCTGGTACATCAGCACGTGTATTTTAGCGTAGCAATCAGCACCGGCCGCAGCACATTTTACTGGTTAGCGTGTCACAGATGGCATACCAAAATACTTTCTAAAGAGAATTTAGTTTACATGAGCTGACAGGGGGACTGGAGGAAATGACCTTTGTGTACAGTCACATAACATGATGCACAGGCCAGGGCCACTGTTTCCTGATTGCCTACCATGGTGCTGAGAACAGGACATAATATGAAAGGGGAAAAGCCGCCTGTTCCAGAAGAAAATAAAACACTAAAACTTCCTGAGAAGAGGAAGTCCTGAAGATTTCCTCTAGGACATCGAAGCCAACCCTCTATTGCAAGGCTGTTCATGCCAGGAATCATAAAGACTGTGGCAAGGGAGGGAGGTGAGCTGGAGTTATCGCTTTAAAGCGAAGCGCGGGAGGTGTTCAGGAGAGAAAAAACATGATTCCGTAGGGAAGCAGATCTCATGAGCTCCACCACCGTCAGAAGAACAGCTAAGGTGATCTAAGGGATAACAGTCCTGACTTGCAGCAGGTCATATATGGTTCTGCAAATACTTAAAGAGTTGCGCTTGTGCTATGTGGTTAGATCCAGAACTTAGTCCCTCAGTGACTATATTTTTCACATCTTCAGCAAACCTCCCACTAGGGGCACCTATTAAACTTTCTAATGATTCTGTTTCACGATACCCTCATGTGATGAGAGCGTACCACGTTTCCCTCTATATTACATGAAGGGGAGAAGGGCTATGTTTTCAACAAAAGCCACTAATCACAGGTATCCAGTTTGAGACACTGATGTGTCCGTCCAAGGCGCATGAGTGGTCTGTGCTCAGGACAGTCAGGCCCCAGCCTTTTAAAGCACAAACGCTCAAAAACATAGTACGCATAAGGACACGCTCTGAGTCTATCATGTTAATACCTGCAAAACGGAAAGGGACAAGCCTGCCACAGAGGACATCTCTCTCCTCAATTCATAAGGCTATAAGAAGAGTTCAGATGGGAACACAGCTTTCCCTTTTAGGTCATTGTACAACAAAACCTGTAAAACCACCCAGTAAGCTTTCACAGCAAAGCTGCAAACAGGTACTGGCAGATTTGTTCTACAAGTGGGAAACCACTACAGCAACAGTGGGTTAACTTAGCTCAGGAGCGCTCAAAATAAACCAACAGTTAAGAAAGGGTAAAGACAGCTTCTCCTGCTTTTCTAGTCATACCTTCACCATACTATTTTTCCTCAAATAACCCAACTAACTTCTGACCCCACAGAGATGTGATATTTTACAAGTTCTATGTATTTTAGTCTATCGTTTCTTCTGTTTTCTTCCCTGATGTTGTGGCAATGTCCAACTTCTAACTAGCAAGACTACTTGGAAGCCTGAGAGCAATAGTATTTGCTTAGGCTTGCTGACAGAAGAAACTCCGAATTACAATTCTAGAGCTACAAAAAGTATTCACAACCAAAAATGAAGACATGCAAACACCTTCCGGGTTTCAGGTTTCATTGCGAACACGAAATACAGACCTTGCAGCTCTGGAGACTTCTTCATGCTTGAAAACTGTTTTGGACCAAAATTTCATAATCCTACTCAGACAAGTTTCCACTGTACATGCAACGAATCAGGTTTTAAGCTAACAAAGTGGCAAAACATTTTGTCTGGAGCTCGAAAAACACTTTGCGCGCTCAGGGCAGCCACTGCCCTGCCACCACGGTGAAGCCAACGGTGCCCAGCCTAGCTCCGCTTCCCAGGGCGCAAGGAAGGCCACAACAGATAGACAGCTAGAGCGATGTTCCTAAGCCCTCCCTCTACCCTCTGTTTCCCCACGCTTTTAACGTTCCCCTGCTGCCCTGCGCACAACCAGAACTAGCACCGCAGCAGCACTTACATTCAGAAACTCCACTGTAGGTTGTGTCCTGCAACCACAGCCTTTTCCTTTCTTTTCCACCACAGGCAGGGGAACACAACACTTGGCCCCATCCCCACATCGTTCCTTTTCCCCAGCCCTTTACCAACTGACAATGTGAACTCGTCCCCCCCCCGCCCCCGCCCGTGGC